AGAAAAAATTGCCCGACGGTCTCGACGAAGAAACAAGAATGGAAATTGCACTTCTTCGGGAAAACGGTTTAGCCCCGTCGAAAAATTTACATAATTCTGCATTGTTTTCCTGCAATATTATTTTGGATTACGAAGCCAAAAGTGAACCTGTATTCAAGGATTTAATAAAATGTACCATTATAATATAGAATTACGTTAAATTTATGGAGAACAACGAGAAATTATTAATCTGACAAAGGGTTAACGTACTGTTTTTAATCTCGAATGCAGCGGACTGTGGCAGGAATTGTTGTTCTACGTTATAAAATAATGGAGAAATATTCCATAAAGTTAGACCGTGTGAAGCTGCATGGTGTCGGGAAAATCATAACTGAAGTTCTGATAGACTCGCACGATTCTCAACGCGGCTGACTAATGCGTCCGTCCATCACTCATTGTTCCTACTCCTAATGAATACAGATGACGACGGCACGTTTTGTTTGCTCAGAGCAAGCTTGTCTCTCTAGTAACTACCGATTTCTATAGATTATTCTAACTAATGGCTTTATGTCGTTGACAACGTCTTCTGAGGTTGGTCCAACTCGAAATTCTCAATAATGGATCGCTGAATAAGAAAATAAAATTCCATCGTGGATTCGCCGAACACGCAGAGTCGACTCTGTGTTTCTGATAATAGAACTGAATGTCGAAAATTCTCGTTTAACTCCAGGACACCCTATGTGTGTATATTCGATCCCGCAACCCTGAGGCGGTGAATTCCGTCGAATCATGGGGAAAATGAATTTTTACTTCAAACTTAGGGTAGCTCCCTATCAGTTGTTCATCTCCTCGGATACACGCATTTAAGTCGTTCCACAAACATGACTCCACCGTTTTCGAAGCAGAAGAAAGTAATTGTACTAAACCGACCGTGTAAGAATCAAGCGTCGGATAAATTTCACTATTTTACAGAGAAATGTGTTCGAGACTTAACGCTAGATTTACGGAGCACACAAAAAACGGCTGTTTTATATTAGTTTATGAAAGTAACGATAAGACATTTATTTCGATTTTTAACAAGTGTTATCGTAACATTTGCCGTAAGTAACATATAAATTGAATAAATAACTCGTAAATGTATCTTTACGATATGAATAATCGTAAATTAAGAAATTAGTGACCCGTCATTTTGTCGGGTTAAATCTAGGGTTAACAAAATCACAACAAAGACATGGTGAAAACGAGGGATCTTATTTTTAACATCTGAATGAAACATTGAAAATCGAAGAATCATTCGAAACTATTATACAAAATATTTATATTGTAATTTACCTTAAACGATCCTGGTTCGTGCAACATTTGTGAAATTATAAAATGAAATATCAAAATCAAGTAAATAAACCGAAAAAGCTGAGACAAGTAAATTCTTCAATTTATCTGACACCTGAAAATGAATTGTTAGAAATCGATAAACATTATCAAATGCAACGTGAACTATTTCAATATGCAGGAAATAATTAATAAGGAACAGCGTAATATACAATTTTTTTATATCAGTTACGCTGAATCCAGTCAATATAAAATTAAAAAATGCAGAGTTCGTATATGAATTAATAATTATTCAATGAATAAAAATTCCAAGAATTCCGAACTATATTCTGAACAAAACTAAATCGTGTGCAATCTACGGTACAATGAACCGTGTTTCTCACTCTTAATCACCAAACGTTGAGCTTTACTACTTTCGCGGTGAATTTCGCGAGGAAATCCATAATTTTTTTCGCAAACAGTGATTCAACGACGCGTTCAGTTCGCAACGGTGAACAGCGCGGTGCCGATAAAAGGAAAATCTCACTAAGATACTATGTTATAACGACAATGTTACTTGTTTGAACCGCGGCGAAATGAAATTGTCGTTCGTACTTAAGAGTTCATTTCGCTGACCTAGCACGTGCAACTATGATATGCAATAAATGTAGCTCTGATGCTTTATTTCGGCGAGAAATCCGCGGGTATGTAAATTCAAAAATTAAAATGCCTTCCCCGGCAACAGCTGAATCCGAGGACCTGATAAGGACCTTCTGCAACGCAGAAGAGAAACAAATTTCCATCCCGCATCTGAATTTCTCTATCGTGTAGCTATTTAACATAATAAATTAATCGGATTCTACTGCGGCGAAACGAGAACGTGGCCTCGACGAGTGTGCGGTGTAATGGCCAAAATTGATGAACCCAAAGTATTTGAACCATGAATTTTTGTATCAAAAGATATGAATAAATGTATCTAGAATTTAATATTATCCGTCGTTTTTACCAAATTTACCCACGTATTGTCAAGAATTACACTAGAAATATATTCCAAATTTTTGTGCATTTCGCTAAATACTTTTTCCATTGTCAAGATTGTTGTATGTGAAAATTCACGTTTTTAAGATTTTTATAAGTTTTTTGTTGTAGTATCTTCAAAGATACTACATGGTTTTTTACAATATTTAATAATTTATATTAACTTGTTACGTTTATTTATTTATCAACTTTGAAGAGATTTAAAATAAACGCCAAAAAACTGCTTCGATTTCTCGTACGTTACTTCAAGTAACTTTAAACGTAATTGCAA